ATGGTCTTCTGAATAATGAAGCAAGCTTCTTTCAAACTTGCAGTAGGAATACACATGTGAAATGATTTTCCCCCTAGCAGTTGAAGAGAGCACTTGGTTAGTAACCAACTTCTTGAAGACTAATTTATCTTCATTTTTAAACTTATCATATTTACTGTACCATTATTCTTACTGGTTCATATCATTATTTGGAGGGTACATTTTTAACCCTCAACCCACCCCATAATTCTTCTTTTCTGGTATTTAAATGTGTATTTCTACTAAGAAATGCTATGATCTCCTTAATGTTGTCACCTTTCTTATTCACTTTTTACAAGTGCCACTTCTGTCCAATTTTAATTTCATGAAAGGAATAAAAAAGAGAATAGTCAACTAACTACAACTAGTCAGAACAGCAAAAAAGAAGAAATGTGTAAAGTTCCTAGGATTGTTCTGACAGGGATTTTCCACTAAATACAGCATCCTCCATTTTAATTCTGGGCTACTATAAAGCAAATTATATGATTTCTGCTTTGCTGAACATAACTTTAGAATATTAGTAAGTATCTTAGGCAAAAAAGCACATGTAAATTTTCAGAGATTAGGCATTAAACAAATTATAATGCAACTGTAGCATTCTAGCTCATAGTCACTTTTATTATCATCACTCAAAAACCACCTCTAAATTGCACTGCTCTCTCATGAATCCAACCTTTTAGTTTTTTTAAGACCTAAAGTTCAGTCTCATACTGAACTTTAACAATCTAATTTAACTTCTAAAGCTAGAAGCTACCAAACTAATTTCTCCCCTTGATTTTTACCTACTTTAAAGCTGTCAGTAACAATCCTATTCTCTTCAAGAGGAAAAAAACCTGAAAACAACACCCGTTTTAATTCAGTTGATTTGCTGTAGTAGAAAATAAAAATGTGCATCAACATGTCACAAAACTGACTAATAGTGCTTGAGTTCTTCTGGATACCTCAGATACTAATTTTACAATGCCTTCTTCCCCTGTCCCCGAGATATTTAGACTGTAATCCTTCTTTTCTCCTTTTATACCTAGCTTCTTGCATATATTTATGTACTTTCTCTCTTCACTTAGGGAATCTGTGATAAAATACAACATTCCTAATTTGCACAACATCAATTAGCTGCAAACACATTTGCAAAAAGAGGAGCTACTTCTCAGTGTCTCCTGAAGACACATCTTGTCTCTTGGCAATGTCAGTTATACGAGGATGGTCTTAATACATTTCTAGCACACCGCACTGGGGAGTGAATTAGAAATGTGTAGCACAGGCAAGTGTTGTGCAGCCAGCATAGCAAATTCATGACCTTTTCTGGAGGTTGGTTGGACAAGATTATACATAACAAGTAAGCCTATCACTTGAGAACAAAATCATCTTCCTATACTATCAGTTTTAACAGTATAAAATTTCCTAAGTGGCATATTCATGATCAGTGAGGGGGGGAAACCGCTATGATTGAGGCAGGAACTGAGTCAAGTTCTCCCTCTGTAATTATGTGATTAAGTCAGTATTTTTGAAGTATGTGCATGAGGAGGAGCATGAGGGGAGACACAGTTCCACCATTTTTTCTTTATATTAAGAAAAAATGTCCTAGAAAATGGAACCTCTGGTTAATATCCAAAGACACAATTGCTCCAATGCTACTAGAACCACTAGTATTCTAGTTAATGTCATAATTGAAAATGAAAAAATACAAGGCTTTATTAATAACGCAATGTCAAAATTAGACAAAGTTGTAAATACCGATGCTAACAAAAAAAGGCTGTTTCCTTAGTTTTGACTTCAGAGTCAGGAAGGTATTTTCATTTTTAAGACCTAATTGTACATTGATACTCTAGTAAAGTATCTTGAACAAAGAATACAGAGCACCATTTGATTTAACTTTACTGACTGTTTAGAGAATATAGTTGCCAAATTACATATTCAGCAAGGATTTAAATTTTCCTGTGACTTCTTGTGAACAAGAAAGTTATCTGAGCCATCTTATTTTTACTTTTTAGGGGAACCTTCTTTTCTTGAAAGCATAGTATGTAAAGATATGCAAAATCAATGTCAGTAAATAATAAATATTCTGATGGACTTTATGTAAAAGGGCAGTAAAGCAAAAAATATGAGTGGAGAATCTGCATCCTATCATGGAAATATGCTATACTTGGCACTTGTGACATATTTTGCCTAGAGTTTCTAAAAGCAAAAGCTCATCTCAAAACAATGACTGAATTGTGATTGCTGCAAGTTTAGTAATTTAGGGGCAAAAAATCTGATTTTATCAAAAGTAAGCACTTAAAGAAAATAATCTAGTGGACAACAAGGAAATTACTTTTTGTTGACCCATAAGTACATTACTTCGTTCTTCATTAGGTGTAATAAATACTACATACATTTAAAGTTCTACCTCTTTATGCCCCTTTCACTTACAAGTCAAGGACGAGTAAAAATATTTCACATATCCTTGAAGGCAAGAATTAAAAAAAAAAATTTAAAAAAAATCATACTCCCCGAGAGTGACAAGGCTAGATTGTTTCTACTTCTGAATGAGGTTTCCTACCTGCATGTTTCAGGAGAAAACAACCCATACACATTTACATATCACACACATAGGAAAAAACCCTTAAATCATAGCATGATGGTGTGGGATTTCATAGAAGTAGTTAAAAATACTGTATTTGAAATTAAAAAAAAACAACAAAACCAAATCAAATGTAGTAACTTCCCCATATGAGAGGATTTTTTGAGTTTTGATTAAGACTTCTGGTATATCAACTGAAGGCATCTCTCAATCAGAGCAGTAAAAACTTCCAAGTATTATTACAACAGCACTCTTCTCAAACTCAGAGATGGCCTTAACTTTCTGTTTGAACCTTGAGCCCAGAGACAACCCATTGTTACCAGCTGAATGCGCACACCCATTTCCCTCACAGAATTCTTAGCACTCAGAAGAAATTATCAAAAAGCTTTACATATTACATTATTTTGCTAAGTTTTATCCCCTCATGAAAAAAGAGAAGCAAACCAGCACCTCAAAATTTGTATTTCAAAACATAGAGCAAGATTGCTGCCATCTGTGACTTTCAGACAGTAGTATTAACTATCAAGGAGTTAAGTAAAAAATAAACAAGAGTTTTGATGTCTCAATAACATAACAGGTGATGATAACAACTGGATACCATGGAAAGATTTTCACTGCATTTAAAAAAAGAAATTTATATTCCCCAAACTTCCTATATAAAAGGCAAATTCCTCTTACCAAAAATCCAAGAGCAGGAAAAGCTGTGAAAAAGTGCCCTTCTATTTGCACCTACAACATCTTTTTTTCATACCTCAGTTATTATAACTCTTTGCAAATATGCAAGAGTAAAATAAAACTCAATACCTTTCCTAATATAAAGGAGGAAATTTCACCCTATTCCATTAGCTCATCCAGTGAGCGAGGAAATGGAAAATGTATGTAATTCCACTTTCTTCAATGCCACATTTTATCACTTCTTTAAGCAACTTCAAAAAAACAGCTATTAATAATGGACACATCTCACATTTCTTCAATCTCCCAGTTTCAACAATGTTCAAGTCTTAACAGAATTGCTGGGCCCAGACACATGGGATGGGCACAGTACTTACAGCTGTTCCTGAAAGCATCATCTCATTCATCTCATTTAACTTGTAGTTCAATGAGAAAATGAGTTGTCTCTTTTTAAAACAAAAAAGAAATGCAGTACATTAAGGGTTGTAAAGGTTTCGACTGCTTAATTTGGCTGCATTGCTACTTGAAATAAGTTGTCTGCTGAACTCAGTATCCCTTATTACAGAACCCCACACTGTACTTTCAGTTCTATACATTGCCATTTAGAGTCAGTATTTTCTGCAGAATGTTAATGGATGATAATTCCAACATAAGATGCATGAAGAAAAACCAGAGCTTAATATTAAGAAATCATATAAACTAGATCTAGAACACAGATAATCTGGAATAGAAAACATTCATATGATTTATTAGGTCAAATAAAGGAAATTGGAAATCTCACAGAAAGGCTCTCAATCAAAAGGCCCACAATAATTTCAATGGAAAAATCTACTTTACTTATCTTTGATCATTGATTTTAAAAATCACCTAAGATATGTGAAAGAAACTCAAATTTTAGCAATTTTATTTCAATCCAAAAGAATTAGGAGAACTAAGCAATCCTGGAATCCTTTCCCTAGTACAACCAGAAGGCTGAACAGCAGGACCGCACATCTCTACAACTGTTCACAGATGTACAAAGCCTGAAACTCACTCCTTAATTGGTATACTCTTGGACTGCTTTTTCCTGCAAGAACAGACTAATATTGACTAGACAATATTTATTTCAACTGACATCTCAGATTTCTTGTCAGAGAGAAAAATCATCCTCTACCCCAAGTGATGCTAGTGGATTTTTCAAGCCTTATGACAGAAAATCTTCACACCTGTCTCACTCAGGAATTGCACAGAGATCCTTAATCTCAATAGTAGTGCACTTATGGCAAGGTTAGACAAGGAGCATTCCTACTGAGGAAATATTTAGATAAGAAGCTGTAGCTCTCTGTGGGCATACCTGCATTTCACATATGAAAAATAACATTATATACAAACTTCATCTGCAGTTTTAAGTAAAGGTTGATGCCAGCATATTTTGAAAGAGATTTACTTGCACTTTCAAAAGCAAACATCAATAACAATTATGCTTAAAGTAACAGGAATATATTTTATTTGCCATGCTTTGCATTCATCAGCCAAGCATAAGGTTCATTTTGCGGCTTTTCTTAATATGAATGCAGAAGTTGACTTCTAACCAAGGTAACCTAAGGATATGACAAAAATGAGGTATGGGTAAAAGCGCTACAGATTTTTTTAGAAATCTGTGTTGATAATTCCAATTGAGAGTGTCTACACATAGCTAGAGGTTCAAACTTTACACATTCAAAAATACCAAAGCACTTGTACAAGTTGAGCATATTTAAAAAGGACTTACTTTTATTGTAGCAGGTTGCAAGTATACCTTTATCAGCAGGACTTGTACTAATGTGCCAAATTTCACCCACTTGATGAAGGAGAACATTTTTGTTTATAATGTTATTTTCATCATCAAAATCTATGATGTGAATCTGCAAATACAATAAAATAGAACATTAGGGTCTTAATTATACACAATGACTGCACGGAACAATTTAATGGGATTTTTATAACCGATATCTACTTTAATTAATTGTTATACTAACAATTTACTATATCATTGATTTCACGCAGGATTAACTTTTCTAGGAAAACACAAGCAATTTCCCTGTTTGAGGAAATACCATACTTATTTCTCAATTTTCAACTTAAAGCTTGAAGGTGATTTTTCATTTTATGGCTAAGAGTAAATAAGCCACGTATTACAATTCAACACTCGTCATAGTAATAAACAAAAATAACAACATTACAATCCTTAGTCTAAATATCTGCATCAATTCTGTATCCAAAATGTAAAATTCAAATTATCTACAAAGAAAGAAGGAGAGAGAGGGAAAGGACTCTTCTTTGAAGCAAGTACTTTACACTCAGTAAGACACTGATAGTTCACTTTAGCAGTCACATATCACTACCAAGATACAAATCTACTCTTTTCATACTATATGGAAACAAAGTATTTAAGATGAAGAAAAACAACAATATTCAAATATATAGACAATATTTTTAAAAGACAGAACTAAGTTGCTTTTTATTATTTTCATTTTTGTTTGTTGCAGGTTTCTTTGCTATGTGGTTTTTTTTTTTTTTTTAATAGGTCTATCATTTTTCCCTCCCTTTTTTTAGTCAGCTGTTTTTCTATGTTTGCTGCAGAAGTACAAGGAATTTAGGAAGATTTTGGCCTGGCATAATGTACAGAAGGAACTTTATTCGTGGTACTAATTCCCCTAAGCTCAACAGTGGGCAAATAATTTTAGAAGACTCAAATTTTGAAGAACTGTATCCTCATTAAAAATTAATTTTCAAAGTTGGTTGAACAATGAAGAGGAAAAAAAAAAGCCAAGAGTTATCCTATCATAATGTCTGAATCAAGTCAACTAAACTAACTACAGAATCATTGCAAAAATCTTAGCTATGCAGAAGTACAGAAAATTTTCTCAAAATACAGAAGCTGCAATACAGGTCTCAACTTCACACTTTTTTGAGCTCTTCCAGGGATGATGACTCCACCACATCTCTGGGCAGCCTTTTCCAATGATTTACAACCCTTTCCATAAAAACATTTTTCCTAATATCCAGCTGAAATTTCTCTTGGTGTAACTTAAGGCTATTTCTTCTCACCTGCCCTGTCTCCTGCCTGGGAGAAGAGACTGACCCCCACCTGGCACAACCTCCATTCAGGTAGCTGTAGACAATGATAAGACAGCCCCACCCCTCCCCCAGCCTCCTTTTCTCCAGAATAAACAGCCCCAGCTCCCTCAGCTGTGCTCCAGACCCATCACCCCATCACCATCTCCATCACTCTTCTCTGGACCCACTCCAGCACCTCAAAGTCTCCATTGCAGCGAGGAACCCAGAACCTAGGTTTGAGGTGCTGAGTACAGCAGATGCAATTCACTATATAAATAATGAAAATAAGTATTTTAAGTTGTAAGACATAAGACTGAAAATAACTTGAAGAGTTCTGAGAATGAGGAAAGAATAAATTACATACTTGGATATTTCCAATGCATGCAATAAACACAAAGTCTAGCAACAATGAAAGTACTGAGGACAAAAGTTCCAAACCTACACCATACAGAACACTTAGTCGTGCTACTACTTAAACCATTTGCAGCATGGACCAAATGCCAAGTACTATGCACTATTAATATGTCAAATATTAACATAATGTAAAATCTTATAAAAACTTTCCTTTCCTTTGAAATACTAGTAATAATAGGAAATTATTTTCACCTAAAATATATTCTCCTATGAATACCTAGAATTGCTTTATACAGCAATACACCTCAGTGAGGCACAAGGTATCATTTGTACAGAGGCCAGCTGTAAAATTATTGCCCTTTCATTTGCACTACACCTGCCCATGACCAGAAGGGAAGAAATAATCTGCACATGATAAAACCTCTTGCTGTGCAGGACTTAGTAAAGTATTAAGTGTTGCAAGAAAGCTCATAAGTTTGGTCAGGTAACTAAAAAAGTTTTTAAGCAAATGTAGAGAACCTAGCGCTGAATTAAGTTATAATGAGCTGAGCCTAGGGCACTTTTTGGGGATTGAGGAACTAACTGAGAAGAAATTATGGCCTGAGGCACAGCTAAAGGCCAATAACCTCCAAACATCTGTGAATACACTTGAAATTGTCCTGCATTTCTATTGTTAATGTTATTCACCAGAGAAAGAAAAGCATACTCAAAATTGAAACATACACAAACATTTCCAAAATAAATAGCATATACCAAATAAACTTACCCAAATCAGAAAATTTAAATTATTAAAGATCTGTTTGCTATCAGCTGGTGAGACCCACTCTTCAACAACAATTTCATATCAGGATTTAATTAGCTGAGCAAGTTGTAAAACCATCACAGAAATCACAGTAAAAAAAAAACAAAAACACATTATACCAAATATTTGAAGAGCAAGAGACAGAACAATCAAAAATATAATTGTGTGCATTGAATTTTTAATTGTAACTAAGTGTGTCTGCCACTTCTTTTGTTACTCTTTGCCCAAGTATTATTTGAAATGTAAATAAACTGAATATTCCATCCCTCTTATTCCTTGGAGTAACTTTTCTTGAGTCTCATCCAGTATTATCACTGAGTAATGAACTCAAAACCTCACTGGGAATTGACATTTTACGTGTCCCAAAGCTATAGTACCAAGCGATGGCAGCCCATTACAGGCCATTTTCAAAAGAGTTGGTCATTCCATTCAATGCCAGGGACTGTGGTGGGTGTTAGCCTTAGCTAACAGACTCCCACCCAGACACCTGCTCTCCCCAGGAAAGACAGGGGGAGAACAGAAAGAATAGGAATGAGATTATGTGACAATCTACAGACAGGGAGGTCACTTACTAACTAATATTCTGGGCAAAACAGACTTGGGTGAATGAATTAGTTCATTGACAGTTAAAATAAACAAGTACCTTCTCTCCCCCACTTTCCAGGCTGAACTTCAACCCAGACTCCTCTGCTCCTTTCAAATGGGGCAGGGGGATGTGGGGCAGTAGTGGTTATGGGTGCTTTCTCTGTGATGCTCTTTGCTCTCACTCAGTTCCTCTGCTTCAGCACAGGGCCTTCATGGGAAACTGACTCACCTGTGTCGTGAAGTGGATTCACTGGAACCAGCCATGTCTGGCACAGGTAACCCTTGGCCTCTTCTCAGAGGCCACCACTGCAGCTCTCCTGCTACCCAAGCCGTGCCACCTGCACTCAGTACAACCTGCTAACCCTTTCAGCCTCAATAACTTGTTTCAGTACGATTTCTACTGAAATTCAGTCACAAAAATTAAATTTGCTGTAAAATTACAACTCATACACTTAACCTCAGAAGAAACGGCCTAATAGAAACTGAGCCATGAAAGTCACTCAAATTTTAGTTTGAATTGTCTGAATGATGAGAAAGGACATAGCTGATTTCCAGTAATGAATATTGAAAAATCCAGTTTATGAAGCATCATGTACACTGAACTGTGCGTGTATCAGGAGTCCCATTAGAAGCAATTAAGGCTAAAAGACTTTTGCTTTACTTTGCATCTTTTCAGGGATTTAAAGATAGCTCCAGAGCATCTATAGATTCTAATTAACAAAAATATGGCAGTTTCTTTACTAAACCAATCTGATTTAGTCATACAATTTAGAAGAGAGATATGATTTTTGGAAAATACACAAAGCTTTCATTCACCTCCCTTTCCTACCAGTGTCATTACATTCTACTCACAGAATCCTTGAACTTGACTATCAATGCTCATGCTCAATAGGGGGAGAAAGGAAAAGGGATGATATTGGAAAAATGTTACACAAAGTGGTAAAAATTACAACTGACATTTGATGGAAAAGTTACCTGATTATCATATCTAAGAGACTGTGTTCCAACCAAAAATCTTATTGCGTCTGTTTCTGCTGTCTGAGGCGTTAAAGCTCGTGCCTAGGGAAGAAGAAAGCCATTAGAAAAGTACAATTAATAAAATCCATTAATTTCAGCAAAAATCTTGAAACTTATATATCAATTGTCATTTTAAGCATTACACTCTTACAAATGGCAGATTTTCTTGGCCTTTATCCTCATTTTGCTGAATACATTTTTTGTGCAATTTCTCATACTTTTGAGGATTGAGGAATACAGGTGCTAAATACATTACCTGATCTTCATTATAACACGGATAACATTAAATGCAGCATCTCTCCCAAACTAATTTTCCTTTATCATCTGAAAAAACTCCATAGAGCAGTGGACAATATTTAATTATTGTTAAAAAACAGTATGATATCCAAGAAGAGGCAAGAGTTTTCACACCACTCAGGTTGAGTATGCCTGTATACACATTAATTTTTTTCTCATCATTAACCACCAAGTTTAGAACCAAATTAAAAACCAAGCCTCCTTTTTTCTGCTGCAGCCCATTAGAGATAAGAAGTGTCTGAATCATGGGAGAAGTAATTTGTAATTTTATCTTTAAAACTTTTGTCATAATGTTATTTCTTTGTTATATTATGTTAATGGCATTACTAGAGTCTCTGCCTTGCTTCTTCAAGTTACACCAACCACAGTCTTGGAAGAAGCAAAACCAAGCAGTTAAGGGCCATGGGAGACACTGATAAAAAGCACAGCTTGATCACTAGTTTGCACTAGTCATTAGTAGAGACTCTTAGATAATTTTGAGTAAATGGAAGGTAAATGAATACTCAAAGGCATTTTTAGCAACTATATATTGTGAGGAATATCTGCTGTTTCTCCATGCAAGAGATACCTTAATAATATTGTTTAATATTATTTTTTTAATCTAAAAATAAATCTCTGCAATTCACATTCTATTTCGCATAGCTCAGATCTCTCCAGACACTAAGGCAAGTATTTCAAGCCAATACTGATGAAGGATTCAGGTGACTGTAGAATGGCCATTCTTACTGCCGTCCTGTTGTGCAGCTTGTTACCCTTGGATTCAGGAAGACTTCAATATCATTCTATTTGAAACTTATTTTCAAATTCATATTTAGAAGATGTCTAAAAGCTTGGAAGGTAATATCTGGAATATATTAGATCCCAATACCCAAACTTAGAGCAATTTAATTCTAGAAAAGCAACTTAAAGATATTTGACTTTTCTGAAATAAAGCAAAGCCATGCAAGACATTGTCCGGCAATAGCAGTAAGGAAAAACTAATTTTTCTGAATCATCTCTGGACTTGTATAGAGCAGATACTTCCTTCCTGGAATATGAAATGTGCAACTTAAACAGTGTAATATTTTGTGTAAGATAGAGCATAAAAAGTTTAAAAATGCCATTAGCTCATAAGTAACAAGCTACTAGCCTATACCTACATTTATAATATCTATGTAGTGGGGGAAAAAAAAATAGAGAACATAATGAGCAGTTTGTATTCAAAATACTCATGCAGATCAAAGATCAGTGGGAATCCATACCAATATGCTTTTCTTTCTTATTTATGCAGCACTAATCTAAAAGTCTAGAGTGCTCCTGATTGACAGACAACTTTAGTCCATCAAGATGATTGCAGAAAAGCTTTTGTCTTTAACAGAATTTACATTTGCAGATCTTTGCAAGCATAGCATTCATTCATTAAAATACCTGCTTTGAATTATTTTGAGAAAACACTAGAAATGAGCCAACATCTATGTATCTCCTTCAATCAAAGAAGCTTCTGTTGTTTTTATACATCAAAGAGAAGTAGAGACCTCCAGGATCTTTAATAAAATAAAGAAATGAAAGAGGTTTCCAGCCCTTTCAAAGCTTTTCAAGTAGGTCTGGCTGCTTTCAAAACTGCATAAAGTTGGACACAAAGTGCCCAAAATAAAATTATGTAAATACATAGCAACATTTATATCATCAGCTTTTCTAACTCTTTCTTAAAATAATTTTCAATCTTTCAGAAAGAAAAAAAAAAGGGCATAAGAAAAAAAATATTTAGACACATTTCACAAGAAACATTATTATTTATTCCCTGACAAAATAAACCCTGCAACATCCATACAGCAGACACAAAATTCAAACTCATGAAGCCTTCATAAATTAGGAAGACTCTTATTCATAATATCAATATCAACACAATTGACTTCCATGTGTCACAAAAAATGTGTGATTTTGTCTACTCTGAGTTACTTTGAGAGAAAAAGAAGTTCTTTCAACAGATGAAGACACCGAGTAATCCTTGTAATGAACAATACAGCTGAATCTGGAGTGCTTTCAAGATCAAGGAAAGTGCCTTAACTCTGTCATCTTGCCAGAGCAGGTTGCAAATAGAACCTTTCATAAAGCATCCTGCCTTAAGACTACAGCTCATAGATAGAAAATAAGCAAAAAAGTATAGTAAAATAAATATTGATTAATCTAAACCAATGGAAATTATTATTTTTCTAAGTCTGCACCTACAGAACACAGAACTGCATATAGCCCAAAAAGAGTTTAATACCAGGCTTATGTGGAAAGGGATTTTCCACAATGGCACATAGTGATGGGATAAGGGAGAATGGCCTAAAGCTGAAGGAAGGCAGGTTTAGATTGGATATTAAAAAAAAAATCTTTACTGTGAGAATGCTAAGGCACTGAACAGGTTGCCCAGAGAGCTTGTGGACTCCCCATCCCTGGAGTTCAAGACCCAGCTGGGCTGAGCTCTGAATAACCTGGTCTAGTTGAAGGTGCCTCTGCCTATGGCTGAGAGAGGAACTGGAGGATCTTTAAGGTTTGTTCCAATCCAAACCACTTTAGGATTCTACCCAAGATATTAAAGTATTACTTACTAAAAAACTGGCATAATGCTTAGAAAATAACCAGAATACACATCTGAAAGACACAAGCAGCAAATAAACACGTAATCTTTACACATTCGTTCCACATCCCACCTAACTGATAGTACTAGATAATGCAACAATCTATGCAATTACACCATTTCTTTTTTAAAGAAGGCCTAACTTTGGGAAAAAAATACTAGCAAACAAAGTTTAAAACATTGTGAACCACAAAAAAATTTTTGGCTACATGTTCAAATTTCAGATTTATCAACAGCCCTATGAGGACACGTGCATAGTTTAAAGCAAGAGTTTTACAAAACAGAACAACAACTGAACTGCAAATCCACTACAGTAAATACATATGCAAAGGACATTTAAAACCCTAGAACACAAGCATGACAGACAGCTGTATCAAGATAAAGCAAAAGAAACAATGATCATTGTAGCAGAATGCAGGTAAGACTAACTGGAGACTGGGCATCGTGTCTATGCCTACACTATGCTCAGTGTGATGCTGGGCACAGATCACCTTCTACCTTGCCCTTGACAATTTAGGCCACCTGCAGAAAAATAAAAACCTCGGATAAAAAGAAATAGATTAGAGTCTATTGTACTTGACAACATCAAGAGATGACCCAGAAGAACACAATGACAAACCTCAAAAGGGGTAAAGAAGGTTGGTTTAAACTAAGTGCATTATGGAATTGCAATGCATTCATTCTCTACACGTTGTTCATAATTTCTTCATAAAAACTTTCACTCCTCAACATCTTTTGAAATACCAGCTAAATGCACAAAGTTGTGGTTTGGTTTCTTGTTTGTTTTGTTAATTTGACTGTTACTATTTAGGGCATTAATAGACAAACAAAAAAGTACTTGTTCAACAAATGTTTTTGCGCTGATGCATTGCACTAGTTTGTTATTACCAAACAAGAAAACAAACAGACCTCAACATTTGAATATTTGTATTATATTTAATACAAGGAAAAAATATTCTTCAAACCAGGCATCATTTGAAATTCATACAATCAATTTGTACTACCAAATCGTGAACTTATAATGCAAAACGTAAGGATACAGTATTTGGCTTGCAATCCCTAAATCTGAATTTTAAGTTATTTGACCATCTGCTTATGCTGAAAACCAGGACTAGTGTACTGCTACTTGGGGTGAGGAGCTGGATTTGCTGATGCCTCATTCTGGAGGCAGAATACAAATTGTCTGCTCCCCTAGACAAGCCCCAGTCTGCTAATGTCATGAATGTTATTTTTGCCTTCTGGCACAATTTCAATTTTCAAGTACACTTTGATTTTTACTTAGGTAAGACAGCCTTGTTTCTCTCACCACAGTAGGAGTCTCTCTCAGTGACTCTAATAAGCTGCAGTGACTATCAGTGAAAAGGTTGGCAGCCCACATGCCCAGGTTACCTTCAATGCTCTCAGACAGCTGTTTTCCTGAAGTCTTTCACAGCACAAGAATTCCCACTACCAACATATTTAGTGCATTGACCCTATTCTAAAGCTTGACAGAATCTGTAAACCCTAACAGCGATGAATGCAATCCGTACACAAGCACCTGCACAGCACAGTCATCCTAAGAAAACTCATTCACTTCTCATGAAGGTAACAATCATCATGTAAAAGTTCCTTCAAGTTCACCTCACTGTATCTTTATATTGTCATTTTTCTGTACCACACCTAACACTAGGAAGATCCCACTAATAGCTTAAGGGTCCTAAAAATACTTTCCAACTGTTTCACTTCATGCATTATGAAGATCTTTGTGGGATTAGTAAAGAGAGCTTTGCCACTTTAGCTACATTTGTTCCTCTAGTAACACTTTAAACCACAAAGGCTTAAAATATACAGGATTGGCACTCATGAGGCAAGTAATCTTAGAGAAGAAAGAGAACTGACACAAAAGCTAGGAATTTTAGTAAGACATTATTTGGCAGTTTCTTAAACTGATTCAATTTTCAAAGTAAGTCTTCCAAAGACATTGCTAAAGCTGGACCAAAGTAATTAAGTACATTCTGCTTCGGCTGTTCTCTGAGCCCACAGGAGAACACAAAAGCTTCCCCCAGGGAAGAGAACACCACTGCCCATAGGAGCTATAGGCTCTGCACTCCCATACTGGGAACAGAGCCAAGCCTGAAAGCCAGCACAGCCTTCCCTGGGGAGCTCACAAGCAACACACATTGTCCAGGGAAGACCCCTTTTACCACTTTTAGTAAATCTACACCTGGCTTTTACTCCATCACAGGTAAGTCAGCTGAGCTAGTCTCAATACATACTGATGACAGTAGGTGTACACACATTGGTCACAGGTCTTCCACAGTCTATTTCAGTTGGTATTTTGCTTTAAGTTTCTTAGTCTAAGAAAACACATTTGGCTTTAGGGAAATTAAGTTTCATCTTATTCTTGCAAGCAGGCAAGTTCTAAAAAATCAAGTGTCTATTCAGATTCATAAAACCTGTTAACATATAATAGACAACACAAAATGGGCCAAGTATCCCTCATTCAAGAAGCACAATGACCACAATGCAGAACACTAACTCTATCAAAGCATCAGCACACTTTTTTCAAGCCTGCTTCAGCCAGACCCTATCTCAGGGTGCTGCTGGAGCTGCCCATAGGCACTATGGCCCAGTACTCAGCCAGGAGGCTTTCTGTGGTCCTTGCCTCCTGCTCACTGTCCTTTTTCCTCACATGTCTATTTACTTTTGCCATGCAACATACAGTAGGAGTATCCAGCATGCTGAAATTCAGCTCAGTGTTGTGGTATCCCCAAAACTCATTAAATGTGCTAAACACATGCTCCAAAATGATCACTCTCTGGCATAAGTTATGTTCCTCTTCCTCATCTCATTATGATGGCTGGCTTCTGCATGCTTTTAAACAAGCAAGATGTAGGCTTGAGCCAAACGCCTATCTAAGAAAGCACCTCTTCCCACTGCTCACTTCCAGGGATATAAACGTTATCTAGTCAATCTTAAACTAAGGCAAACATGGTATTTTGAGACCTTCAGTGGTGCTTTCACACCTGTTCAAAACATCACTGCTTAAACCCTCAGGAAAAAACATGGGGAAAATTGTGACTCCCTGAAAATTAAAGCCAATTCAACATGGGGTAGACATACCATGTATTTCAGGTTAGAGAAGAAAGCCCAGTCAACTCTACATGGGACAAGAACAACATCACTTCACTGACAAAATACAGCACTCAGCAATATTCCTGGGACTTCGTTCATTACATTCTTATCATTGAGGATATTGATTATTTCTATCTAGATTCCTTTTAGAAGAACCACCTTGGTATTGAAATGTTCTGCAACTGCTGCTGTTGCTTGGTATTCACCATCATGAGCCACAGTCACATCACTCAGAACCTCAATTCAAGCAGTATCTCACATTTTCATTGTAATCTTCTCATTTTCACTGCAGTCGGACAAGCAGAGCAACCATGGTGAGATTGTCTTTTTAAAAGTCACAAATAGTGTCATTCACACATCATTTGCATGTCTGTATAATGTTCATATTATGTACAGACACACCCAAGAGATTAAAAAAAGAGAAAAATGTGTTTGGTCCTTATTCTAAGTTACCTTATATATGTCAATAAATCAGAACACATTCTGTACATCGAAATGAACAGAAACCATGCAGAAATAATGTTAAGTTAATTGATGGATAGTGCCTAGGAGGAATCAGCTTTATGTTCCTATAAACATGGTCACTTAAATCAGATGAAAAGCACATTTACACAACTACACTTTCTCCAGTGGCCAAAGATGGACTTTTACTGACTGCTAGAGCCTAAATATAAGAAGCAAAGCCAAAATTTTTAAAACTTGGCTGAAAAATTAGTCTGAAGAGATGCTTTCAGACAAAAAGCAATAATTGAGATGATACAGCTAACCATTATTGTCTAGTGACACAGAAGAAATGATGATTAAAAATATAATCATCTTTCTTGTTAGACCTTGAGATGGAAGTTGAAAAAACCAGATGAGTTTTAGGTTACAGCTTCTATATTAGTGTCTCCATTTTCAGAAAGTACAGAGATGCAATTTGTTTTAAAGACACACAGGGAGTTAATGGAGATCAGCAACAGAGCCTTCATCTCTACGCTCCCCTTCTGACTTACACATAAATCATCTCTTCTTTCCTCACCCTCTCCCTAAGTGATCTGTATTAACAGTAATTTCCTTTTATTACAGCCACTTTATTTATCCGTTTGCTTTATTCTCCTGCCAGACAACTCCAACAAGTTACATACTTCACAGGAGAGAAGAAGTGTGTAGCAGATATATGGTATGGGAGGGAGCAGGATACACAGGTCCATGGAGGTCCCAGACAACACACACTAGCTTTCCCAAATTCCTGGAAGATAGATTATATGTGACTTACTAGAAATGAGATATGAATTTTATTAAGTACAGGATATATATTCTCTTCTGCAAAAGAGATTTAAGTTTCATTAATTTTGAAGTACAAATTAAAGCCATCTCAAGCCAATCACATAATGCAATCATATACAAAATTTACTAATGAAATCTATTGGTATAGTCAGGACTACAGAGCACACTATTCAGTGCACTGGACATTTGTTACAAAGAACCTGTGTATCTTACTTTTCACAAATACTTTAGCAAAGGTGCCAAAAGAAAAAAAAGAAGTGCACATGTAGATATTTCTATTACTACATCTACTGTAGAATGAACTGCTTTGTTAGGAGGTGCTGGTTTTCTTCTCAGGTATTACTGCTAGAATGGCTAGTGATGATAAGCCAGCCGCAACACATAACAGCTAAGTAAAGCCCTTGGGCAAAGGAGGAGTGAATTAGGGTCCCTCCCACTCTGCTTTCCCAGAACTTACAGAAACCTCATTAAACACAACACCTGTGTTCCTCTAAGAAGAGGATCAGTAAGTTTCTGAGTTAGACGGTTCCATTTCCTTACAGCCATAAAATACAGATGTGACGGACAGATTTGTCGCATGGGACAAATGCACATACACACACAGTACAGGGAGATCCCACAAATTTCACACAGATTTATGGTAGGATATAACCAACTAAAATTTGCAACTTACTGGAAACAAGTTTCGTGTTTTCCTTCAGAAAAGCAATTTTTAATCTTTTTCTCTGACAAGGCAGAATCAGGGATTTCTTGGACAGTGCTTTGGCACCAGTGCAGAGCCAGGCACAGCCTTTGGCAGAGGCGGGGTGGGAGCGCGGCCCGGGCAGGAGCCCCGGCGCCGCGGGGTGAAGGAGCCTGGCCGGGCCCTGCCCGCCCTGCGAACAGCATCTGGGGCGGAACGACTCCCGGCCGCCGGCCAGCCACCCTCAACACCCACCGCGGCCGCCAAACGCCACTAAAAGCCGCCAAACGCCACCGCAGCCCGGCGGTGCCCGTGGCGCCCCGGTCCCCGCTCGGGGAGCAGGGAGGAGCCGGTCCCCCGGGCGGGCTCTCCTCTACCCCTCTACACACACCCGGCGCCGCGGCCAGCGCCTTCTCGAAGGCAGGACCGGCACCTGCCGACCTTCCCTAAACCTCCTCTCGCTCACCTGGAACTCCAGCCCGTAAATCACCGGCGCGTCGTCCTCCATCGCGACACCCCCAGCCCAGCCCGGCACCCGCCGTCGCGTCCGATGCTTTCTGACCCTCGGCGCGGCCCGTCGCCGGCCGCTTCCGGGAGCTGCGCTGACGCAGCCCCGCCCGGCCCGGCCCGAGCGCAGGCGCAGTGCGGGGGAGCGGCGCGGGACGCGGCGGCGGCGCGGAGGTGACGGGACGGGACGGGACGGGACGGGACGGGACGGGACAAAATGGAATGGAATAGAATGGAAATGGAATAGAATTAAATGGAGCGGCCGCGCGGCCTGAGGGGCGTCCGGGTGGGCGGGTGCTCACGGGGCTGTGCCAGGAGGAGGCCGGGAGGGAGGCCGGGCTCGCCCCCGCCGCGGGTGTCCGTGCCGGGGCTGCGGGGGCTTCTCCGGCCCGTGCCCGGCAGCGGCGCTGGTGGCAGCCGTCAGCCCACGCTTCGCCTTGCTGGAAGCAGGACCGAGCGGTCCTTGCGACCAGGAAGGCAAATGTTGAGTCACTGGAACAGGTTGCCCGGGGAAACTGGGGAGGTCCCAAACCTGGAGGAGTTTAAGGCCGGGTGGGATGGGGCTCTGAGCAACCTGGTCTAGTGGAAGGTGTCCCTGCCCATGGTAGGGGGTTTAGAATCAGATGATCTTGTAAGGTCTTTTTCCATACCAAACCATTCTCTGGTACCATTCTGTGATACTGTTTCAAGTGTGTTTAGTGGGAGGCATTTGGTCTTCAATCTCAATAGTTTTACGACTTGTAGAAAAGATAAAGAGAAAATATTTTCAGAATTGATTCTGTGATTAAATGTTAAATGAAAAATGTCAAAGGGGAGATGTGAAATAGTGAAATTACTATTTTTTAAAGCAAGAATTTCACTATTTGTATGGTACTTAGGAGTTTTGCTGTGGCACCTGAGCAATATACAAGCAATAAAACTAATTATTGTTTGGTGGTGTCTTCTCATTTTTCAGTTACTATGGAGAATAATGAAAGCAATGCTAAGGATGCAAAGAGCACCTCAGGTGAAGATGACAGCAGAGACATAGTTCAGCAGAAAACTCAGGATGAAGTTCTCTTTCATGAGGAAACCATTGATCTTAGTGGTGATGAATTTGAGTCTGAAGGGAATCAAACCATATCAGAGGATTCAAATAATTTTGTAGATAAACTTAATGAACAAATGATGGAGAGTGTCATTATTTCAGATTCCCCAAACAATAGTGAAGATGACACAGGTGAACTTGGTTGTCTTCAGGAGATAGTAGACCAAATGGAAATTAAAGATAATCAAAAAACACAAACAGAAGTGGATAAAGAAGAGTTTTTAAGTAATGAGAGTGAAACAGAACATGAAGAAACTCCTAAAGACATTTCTGAGATTGGAACAGATGATCAGGCATCTTTAAAGGAAGACTCAATTCAGGAAGCAGTGAAGGAGGAACCAAAGTTGGGAAACAACGTTCCTGTTGAAACAGAACCAAATAATGATGAAAGCATACCTGAGGACCGAATGTTGTCACCCAGTACTACCAAACCATCTTCTGAGACTGAGCCCATTCCTGTGTGCACCATCTTCAGCCAAGCAAACAATGCTAGTTCCCAGCCACAGTTGTTCCTATCTGATGGTTTTGAGCCTCAGATGGTGAAATCTCCCAGTTTTAGTAGTATAATAGAGACTCCAGTGAAGTATAATCCACAGGTGGTTCAACCAAGTCCTAGTCTAAGCAAGTTCTTTGGTGACACTGTTAACACTAATACTTTAGCCTCTGATTTTTTTGATTCATTTACAACATCCAATTTTATTTCTGTCAGTAATCCCAGTGCAAGCTCTTCAGTTCCAGAACAAATGTCCTCTCTTTCTAATGGTGGAGATGGTTCTTCATCTAACCCTACTTTGCCTGTGCAAAATGGGAGACCTGAAACAGGTGGTCCCCCATCATCTCTAGAAATAACTCAATCCCCCAAGCCATTCTCACAAATCCAAGCTGTTTTTGCTGGGAGTGATGACCCATTTGCCACAGCCTTAAATATGAGTGAACTAGATAGAAGAAATGATGCTTGGATTCCTAGTGAGGAGACAAGAAATGTTCTCATTTCAGTTGCCACACAACAGTACAGCACTGTGTTCATAGACAAGGAGAATCTCACCATGCCTGGATTAAAATTTGATAATATCCAGGTAAGAGTCTATTACTGTATCTTCCTCTGTGATTATATTTTCAAAATAGTGTAGAAGATCTGTCCAATAATCTGTATGTCATAGTACTTTATATTGTTGCTGACGGTCACCTTGTATGTATTACTTCAATTCTAATTAGAAAACGCAGTGTCACTGCTGCCTTGTACAGGAAGAGGCTAAAACCAGATCTCATTTATTCATCGTGACATTTGTTTGCTGCATTGAAAACCAGTGTTGACAGTTTCTGTAGAAGCCAAAGCTGTTTGTGTTTTAAAGTACTTTATTTCTGGTCCTCTGGGTAAGATAATACATTTGGAATTTATACACACCTCTAAGCTGACAGCTTTGTGGAATTCCCTGTTGTGATTGAGTGGGAAATAATTTCACTCATGTTCACAGTGGTCTGAATAATGTTAACACTGACTGAAATGGCATCATTTCTAGCTTCCCTAAGCAATGGAAAGGTATAACCTCTAAGAAAGATTGAGTGCTGCAGCAAGCTGCTAGGAAGGGATAACCCCAAAATTAAAAGAAAAAGGCTACAGGAGATCACAAAACAATCAACATAGTAGTGAGAAGTAATTTTTTGTCTTCTGTCAATTTCTAACAGGTGAGAAGGCATAAAGCATTTTTTTTCAGAATTTGGGAAATTTTACTCACACGTATCCAGGATTTCTTAGTAATTTTATCCTGGCTGCTCAGCCAGGCTGACCATCATGATGTTTTGTTTTTTTTCTTGAAACGGGCTAATCCTACTCTTTGGTATCTATGCCTCTGGATAATAGAATTGTTGTGTAGATAGATGGTGTTTAGAGTTTGGATGCTTTAATTCTTAATTATGCATAACAAAGACCATCAGTCAATAGTCATATGCAAGCAGAGAGCAGTCTGCAATAACTTCCCAGTCTGTAGGAGCTATCAGAAGAGTTTCTGAAGTGAATCAGGTCCAGACTTATAGATGAATTATCCGAAAAATCTTGGGTTTCTGTCACAAGCAATAAATACAAGTTTAGACATACACCACACTGGTGCTGCCTCTTGGGTTTGCTTTATCTTAAAACATTAGCTTGTTATCACAGAGCCAGATAATTAGCCTGAAACAGAACACTGTAAGAGGAAGCTATTCCTCCTTCAGTTGTACCCAAAATATCCATTAGACCTTGATGAGTTATTCCAGTGTGTACTCTTTCTCTCCTGACAGCTACTCAGTTAGACAGATGGAGTGATCCCTCCTCCAGTCTCCAAGGATGATGGCCTCCTTTTTGCAAGCTTCCTTTTTTACAATAGTTCTCTTTCACCTTCCTCAGCGCAGTCAGGGATTAAAGACTTGTTTCTGCTGTTTATTCCCTAAATCTGGGCAAGTGCAAATATGCAGATCTACCATTTAGTACATAATTGAAGGGAGGATGTTTAACAATGTCCGTGTGATGTATTTCTACGAAAGACTGATGTAAAATCATGAGTGCAATTAAAGGAAATCCTAATGCTTTCTTCATTGTTTAAGAATTACAAGAGTTTTCTAGACATGTTCACAGGGACAAGTTCTGAAGTGCTTTATGTTTAGAAAACTTTCCTCACTTTCAGTTACTGCTTTTCTGTGGCCTGAGTGCACGCCTTGACTGATTTGACATCTCCTAGTTTGGTATCATTGTTCCATAGTACTGCAAATTGTGCATTTAACCGTAACTGTAATTGTAGAGTGCTTGAAATGTCAACTGAAATATTGTGGGAGGTATATTTTCAATGTTAAAGTAACTTCCAACAAGGGTCATTACAGCTTTGGTATGAATAGTTTGCTAATGATGAATGTTAATGCAAGATGTTAAACCCAGCTACATGCAGTGAACAGAGAGGTTGGTTGAAAATGCATTTGCAGTGAGTGAACCTTAAGTGTGCTTCAGGGAAGGACTGAAATTTCACATTATATGCATTGATGAGCTTGGGGCTTTATTTTTTGCCCTGCTTGCTCAGAAAGTGTGTTGTAAGACAAGTCTTACGTAGATAAATCACACCAAGAAAAATACTGAATGATTTTTATTTCAGCTGCATGTTACTTTTTGACAATCATTTAAAAAACATTGTTTTTTAAACTTACGTTGGGTTGTGTATGGTAAAGATTGTCTGTAGCAGTGTTCTCAAAGTGACAGAAAAATCTGCTGCTTTTTATAGTCTTTCCATTATACCTTTTTTCATGAGTTCCTCTCTTCTGTCAGTGTCCTTTGTTTCATTAGATTCATTTTTACTGTTTCCTACACCAAAGGACTGTTGGATCAAAAGTACTGTTAGGGGGATTTAAAAATTCTTCTGTATTTACATCATTTTGCACACACTTCCTTTTCTTAATTATTTGGGCTCTTCTGTCAGGCAGATCTGTTGTTTATTTGTAGGATAAGTGACGTCATTAGAGGTAAAAAATTTCCATGTAGTGAAACAGTAGTCCTCATTCCTTAAGAAGCTAGACAGAAAACACAAATGTATTTCCCATCACTGTCCATGGAGAAAGTTGAAACACTTAATATCAACTGTCTTTGTCATAGCTAAGCTCTGCTGTTATTATATGCAGTTCAGTCTCTTTTTAGGCAGCTATTGAGCTCACATAGCCCAGTTTCTCTGACTGATGCCTGCAGCTAGTTCTTCTGAAATTTAAAACACTTGTTGAAGGGTTGCTGTTTACTTTGGTTTATGATCTCTCAAAGTTTATTTTCTGAGGATATTTAAGGCTCATTTACTGTGTGTGCATGTTTATTTTTGATCAATAGATTGCACCTTTCAATGTTAACATACATTACAAATACCTGTTAAACTTTCTGTTTTTTTTAAGATCTTTGAATATAAAACTTTTTAAGATCTTTGAAATAAAACCAGTATTCTAAGCCTGTCTGCTTCAGAGGAAACTGCTTCTTTAGTATCTAGTTACTATTTTAATCCTTG